AAGGTCAGTGACCAGCGGATATTCACAAAGAAATGTTTCTGTTTATGAGAACATTTTGAATCGACAAAATGTAACGAAATGGTGTCGTCATTTCTCTGAAGGTAGGACCGATGTTCATGACGAACAAAGAACAGGTCGGCCATCTGTGATCTCTGATGCCCTTCTTCAAATAAATTATGTAATAACTATTGAGAGAAAGATATCCCAGTAACCTCTGGACCCATGTTTACACTGATGGATCCATGACTGAGCGAGGTACTGCAGGAATCTATTCTAACCATTTTCCATTCTAGAAGGGTATTTCGAAAAGTAAAGATATACCGTACACCAGAGGAAAAGAAAAGTTTTGGTGAGCAAGCTGGCAACACAGTTAACCTTGAACCGTTAGCTTTCTCCTCGCGGTCGTTTGGCATTTCAACGTTGATTCTGGTTGGAGTAGGTCGTGTTTAAAATGGCTGCGCCGATTCAAAATTCCGCCAAATGCGAAGTCCGTTCCGTCATACGTTTTCTTCCTGCAAAAGGTCAGTGACCAGCGGATATTCACAAAGAAATTGTTTCTGTTTATGAGAACATTTTGAATCGACAAAATGTAACGAAATGGTGTCGTCATTTCTCTGAAGGTAGGACCGATGTTCATGACGAACAAAGAACAGGTCGGCCATCTGTGATCTCTGATGCCCTTCTTCAAATAAATTATGTAATAACTATTGAGAGAAAGATATCCCAGTAACCTCTGGACCCATGTTTACACTGATGGATCCATGACTGAGCGAGGTACTGCAGGAATCTATTCTAACCATTTTCCATTCTAGAAGGGTATTTCGAAAAGTAAAGATATACCGTACACCAGAGGAAAAGAAAAGTTTTGGTGAGCAAGCTGGCAACACAGGTGTTAACCTTGAACCGTTAGCTTTCTCCTTCGCGGTCGTTCGGCATTTCAACGTCGATTCTGGTTGGAGTAGGTCGTGTTTAAAATGGCTGCGCCGATTCAAAATTCCGCCAAATGCGAACGTGCACTCTGTTCCGTCATACGTTTTCTTCCTGCAAAAGGTCAAGTGACCAGCGGATATTCACAAGAGAAATTGTTTCTGTTTATGAGTAACATTATGAATCGACAAAACTGTAACGAAATGGTGTCGTCATTTCTCTGAAGGTAGGACCAGATGTTCATGACGAACAAAGAACAGGTCGGCCATCTGTGATCTCTGATGCCCTTCTTCAAATAACAGAGGAAGCAATTCGTGCGAATAGACGTCTAAATTTGAAAGAATTGCATCATATCATACTGGAAGTGTCAATGACAACTCTTTATGAAGTTGTGACTGTCAAGTTAGAGTACAGGAAATTGTGTCGCGCTGGGTTCCAACAGGCGGCAGCCTTCTATGACTGTGGCATACAAAAGCTTGTGCACCGACTTAACAAATGTTTGATAACGGGGGTGATTATGTCGAAAAATAATAAATAGTCCAGTTAATAAGATGTAACTGACGTTTTCTAAATAAATGTTATTTTTTTTAAGAAATGCGAGCCATTGCATCTTCACTTTTCGAAATGCCCTCGTATAAGGCAGTGTGAAGAGTTATTACCAGTTTTGATGATGAAGTTGAGGCTATAATTATTGCTCTGAATCAATCAAGCACTCGGATTTAATTTCCCTTGAGCTGGTATTTTGTCTGATAGCAAAGCTGCTTTGCATGTTATCTCCAACAATCAATTTTGCGTTTCCAAAAGAATTTAGAAAGATTCTCAACACAATGGCGGACTCAGTTGTCTTTCAATAGACTCCTGCTCATTGTGGCATTGAGGGAAATGAAAAAGTCCGATTTCCTGACGAAGAAGGAACGGCTACTCTGCAAGCCATCAATAGCCATACGACTTTTAATTCTGCAAAACTCCTAATTAAATTCGAATTTAAGAGGAGGTTTGCCTCCTACCTATCAAATGAAGCTAGAGTATCTAACTAGTTCAAAGCCAGTTATTTCAGATTTTCTTCCTCCTGCAGTCGTGGCGTTATTTCGTCTTTTAACGCTGCACGATTATCTGAAAGGACATTTTTTTAAATTTCTACTTAAAGAATCTTCAGTCTGTATTATTTGTAACTTTGGACAGTCCATGGATAAGGAGTATACTGAGGATTGCACAATACTTCTATCTTTTAAATCTGTTGTTAAGTATTGGGAAGCAGCATCAAGGATAATAGTTTAGAGGTCAAATGTCTGGCATTTGTATAAACAAATAAATATTTCAAACTGTGAAACGAGAAATGATGACAGTGTATTCTACATTTCGGGCCAACCTCTCCAATAAGAAGTAAATTCCTGTCTTTAGCCTCAGCTGATATCGACTAACAAGGATGTGTTGTTTGTAATAGTTGTCTTCAATAATCACATTTCCTCGTATAAGGAATTGTAGGAGATCACAAATCTTCAGTTTGAAAACTTTTCATCGTGATTTTAACAATTTAATTCACTTATTAGTGACGTCTTTTTATAAAAATTTGAAACTTTCACCTAATATGTTTATACGAGGTGTGACAGAGGTAAAAGAAAGACTAAGTGTGTAGCTTGAAAACAAAGTGGAGCTGGCGACAACTGTTTTGGTGACGTCCTGCCACACACCTTCTCTATCTTCGGTCTTCTCTATCTTTTTTATCCCACCTTCTCTATCTTCGGTCTTCTCTATCTTTTTTATCCCACCTTCTCTATCTTCGGTCTTCTCTATCTTTTTTATCCCACTTCTCTATTTTCGGTCTTCTCTATCTTTTTTCTCTATCTTCGGTCTTCTCTATCTTTTTTATCCCACCTTCTCTATCTTCGGTCTTCTCTATCTTTTTTATCACACCTTCTCTATCTTCGGTCTTCTCTATCTTTTTTATCACACCTTCTCTATCTTCGGTCTTCTCTATCTTTTTTATCACACCTTCTCTATCTTCGGTATTCTCTATATTTTTATCACACTCTTCGTCTCTAGCTTCGGTCTTCTATCTTTTTATCACATCAACCTTCTCTATATTTTTCATTCGCTCTTCGGTTTCTATCTTTTATCACACTCCTTCTCTGTCTTCGTCTTCTCTATCTTTTTATCACACCTTCTCTATCTTCGTTTATCTATCTTTTTTATCACACACTTCTCTGTCTTCGGTCTTCTCTATCTTTTTATCACACCTTCTCTATCTTCGGTCTTCTCTATCTTTTTATACACCCTTCTCTATCTTCGTCTTCTCTATCTTTTATCACACCTTATCTATCTTCGGTCTTCTCTATCTTTTTTATCACAAGTTCTCTCTTTCGGTCTTCTCTATCTTTTTTATCACACTTCTATCTTAGCTCTCTTCTCTATTTTTTATCACACCTTCTCTATCTCGCTATTCTCTATCTTTTTTATCAAACCTTCTCTATCTTCGGTCTTCTCTATCTTTTTTATCATACCTTCTCTATCTTCGGTCTTCTCTATCTTTTTTATCACACCTTCTCTATCTACGGTCTTCTCTATCTTCTTTATCACACCTTCTCTATCTTCGGTCGGTTTCGATTTAACCGACCGCGCCAGTGGGGAGTACTTCGTCATTGAGTGAACACGTGCAACTGCATTCTGCCCGAAAGATGTCTACTGTAAAAAACCGAACAGCGAACCAACATCACGTTTCTTGTGAAACTTAAAAAATCAGCCACGGAGTAGGGTTCTGGAATGTGGACATCTAGATTGCTGTTGGAATTGAAGAATCTTTAAGAACTGATAAGTTAATAATCGCTTGAGTTCGTATGCAGAAAGAACAAGTAAGAAGGGTTAACTATCCCTTTATTACTTCAAATAAAGTTTAATTATCTCCGTCTTGGAGTAATACAATAAAACCGCCACTTGGGCTTGAACTTAAGAGACTGAGATTTAAACTAGAAAACTAACTAGAGAGATATAGCCGAAGCTATCCAGATTCTAACAGAGTTGGCCCCTAAACGTTTAATAGACAACGAAGCTATGAAGGGCCTAAAGTACGGCCGAGCGTGATAATAGCTTACGAGAGAGTGGCCTAAAAGGGGTGAACGCGTGCTATCCAGAAATCTGGTATCTCTCTCGCTAAGATTAAAGAACTTCTCGGTTAAATACCACTCCTTCTCATTATGTATTCAGACGTGATTCTAAAACTACGTTCTGGCCAGAAGTCGTAAGTTGAAGTTTAGAAATTGACACGAAGGAAGTTTAACTCAAAATTTTAACCGTTAATTTAAATTAACATAATCCTTACAAGGTTTCTTGTAAAACATTATTTTTATTTATTAGGACCATTATGAGAAAAAAAATATGAGCATTAATTTTCTTGTACTGTGAAAATTTTGAAAATATAACGCTGATTTTTGTTCTTTGACTTCTGAATTTGTTTTCTTGTACTGTGAAAATTTTGAAAATATAACGCTGATTTTTGTTCTTTGACTTCTGAATTAGTTTTCTTGTAAAACATTAGTTTTCTTTATTATAACCTTTATGAGGGAAGAAAACAAACAAAATGTGAGCATTTGTTTTCTTGCATTAGAACCATTATGAACATTAATTTTATTGCAAACCATGTTTTATGTTTTTATTGAAAACCATGTTATTGTTTTATGTTTTCATTATTAGAAAGAACAAAACAAAACATGAACATTAGTTTTCTTGTACTAGAGCCATCATGAACATTAGTTCCGTTTTCTTGAACTGTTGCTTTATAAATTATATCCGATGCATGCTTATCCCATGGGTAAATAAATTTGAAAGATGAAAATGATCACTGTGGACGAATCCATTTTAGAATTTAAGAAAGCTCGCTTTCTGAACATCTTGAGGAAGGGAAAAACTATGTCAATACCTTTAAAAACTTTTCAGAGGCTTGTGCTAAGATAGCTTATAGGGGAGATACGCGAGAAGTGTAGCATTTAATTTTTTCTTACTTTGCCTTCATTATTTTAAACAATATTTTTATCTCATTTTTTTTTTTTTTTTTTTTTTTTTTTTTTTATGATTCACAGGAATGCTGGCCGTGCAGGTTGAAGGGCATCTACGTGATCAATGAACCATTATATTTGCATTATGTTTATCGTATCATGTATCCTTTCTTTACGAAGAAGCTAAAGCAAAGAGTGAGTAATGTTTCTTTTCTTGTAGCAAATTAAAAAATTTAAAAGAGCAGTTGCAATTAACTTGTAAAACGTTGCGGCATTTATACAGTAGACATAGCTTAATGCGACCACGATTAAACTTATCATTCAAATATTGTTATCGAATTGCCGAAATCCCGCCCTCTTTCAGTACAAAAGCATGAAAAATTCTTTGCTTATTGTTATGAACAGTTATAAGGTATTTCTCCCCCATTCTTGGCATGCCTTCGTGGTGTGGTGGTCTGCACACTGGGCGCGTATTCCAGAGGTCCGCGGTTCGATTCCCGGCGACCCCGTAGCTAATTTTTCATCTTGCCTGCTTCCAAAATACATAATGCCGCTACACTGGCGCCCGAACAAAAAGGGTGTTGGATGATGCTTCTCCACACCCAGGATTTGGTGATTAGGTTAGAATAGATGTTGATCTAGGTGAATTATTATCAATCTAGATGAATAAATAAAGTTGTAGGGTTTATATTTATTTTAACTAACATTTATTTTAAGTTTAAACTATCTTTTCCTGTCAAGCCTTACTTTCCCCTGGAATTGCCAATGCCAGATTATGTAAATTTTAGTAGAACGCGCAAAGTATTCAAAATTGTCAGCGGAAGTAATCTGAGTTAAATAGAAGGGAAACGAGTTCGAAAGTGTGCTTTCTTGCTTCACGAGCGTGGAGGTGGCTAGTTAGAAATTGAAGAACCACGCGTTTTGGCCTGTGTGCTTGCCTCGGCAGATAGTTAAATTTTTCAACGTAATATTCAGAAGTTTGCTGAATTATCAGCGGTATTTTAAAACACGGTTAGGTTAGTTACGTTTAGACAGCCTCGTAGGTAGTCACTTGTTATTATTCATTTTTAGTTTCTTATTTTTATTTTACCGCCGGGTCGGCGTAGTTTGTGAGCGTCAAGAGCACGCATCTGTAATTCTAAAGTTGAATAAAAAGGGATTTAAACCCTTCTCAAGACTTTGTATACTTTCCAGTTCATAGCAGTCACCACTATAATTGCGTGCAGGTTGGAAGCGCGCAACATTACAAAGTGTCAGTTAATTATTAGTCCAGATGAATTATCTTTGTCAAAAAAGGTGTTAATTGATAATCTGTCTAGATAAATTATTGTCAATTTAGATAAATTGTCTAAGTGAATAAACTGCTAATTAATTATCAAGCTTGTTGAATTATTATCAATCAAGACGAATTATTTTAGTAAATAAAATATTAATTAATTACCTATCTAGATGAATTTACTATCAAGCTAGATGAATTCTCTTAGTGAGGAAAGTGTTAACTGATTATCAGACTAGATGAATTCTCTTAGTGAATAAAGTGTGAATTAATTATTAGTCCAGAAGAATTATCTTTGTCAAAAAAGGTGTTAATTGATAATCTGTCTAGATAAATTACTGTCAATTTAGATAAATTCTCTAAGTGAATAAACTGCTAATTAATTATCAAGCTTGTTGAATTATTATCAATCAAGACGAATTATTTTAGTAAATAAAATATTAACTAATTACCTATCTAGATGAATTTATTATCAAGCTAGATGAATTCTCTTAGTGAGGAAAGTGTTAACTGATATCAGACTAGATAAATTCTCTGAGTGAATAAAGTGTCAATTAATTATTAGTCCAGAAGAATTCTCTTTGTCAAAAAAGGTGTTAATTGATAATATGTCTAGATAAATTATTGTCAATTTAGATAAATTCTCTAAGTGAATAAAGTGTTAATTAATTATCAAGATTGTTGAATTATTATCAATCAAGAGAAATTATCTTAGTAAACAAAATATGAATTAATTATCTATCTATATGAATTTCTTATCAAGCTACATGAATTCTCTTAGTGAATAAAGTGTTAACTGATGATCAGTCTAGATGAATCCGCTTAGCGAATAAAATATTAATTTACTTTTTGACATTTTTCAGTGTCATATATATGGAGACAACATGAAACCTTTACACAAGCATATTCCTCGGGACATGCTACCATATGAACTTGGTGGAACAGCAGAACCAATCAACGTCCCCGAGTTCCAGTCTTTCATTCTTGGTCATGAAGCTTACTTACAAAAGATCAATCAATATGGCTTCAAGGATGATTGAACAGAAGCAAGTTATCTTCTTCAACAGCTATTGTTTAGTTCAAAGAAGAATATTTATCCAAGACATTATACCTTTATGAAGCAAACATGGACTTCAGCAACTTTTCATTGCGAATAAAAAAGCTAATATCACAGAACACGATATACACCTTTGCACACAAAAAAAGAGGCAGTTCTGTATCTTATATCGTCCGTTTTACTGCACCGATTGTCGAAATTTAACTTGCGTTTTCCCTATTTGCCTTAGGATATGCATTGTTTTGACATAGGTATTCTGACACAAAATCGGACACTTTCTGAAATAACATACCAATATTTTTCCATACTTCTATTTTACGACTCAAATTATGGCAAAGTACCAAGTTTTGTAAGAGTCGCACGAGTAGTTTTTAAAATAAACCAGCTCTTAAAATTTTAGCTCCTCCATGTTAAATTAATTTGGTATATATATTTATTAATATTTCTTTTTGTATTTAACTTATTTGATTCTACCTTTCACAATTCGAAATTTAAGTTCATTCCAAATAAAATTCGGCCATTTTTTATGATTTATTTTAAAAATTTGTATTTTTAAATAATTTTTATAAATTTTTCGAAAAACATTTTAAATTATAACCTCTAAAATTTTTACCATCATCTTAAAGTAGATGTATTTCTAAGCATACCCGCAAAGATTAACAGTTTTTTATTCAAAATTTTCGAAGATATGTGTAAATTTACATACTGGCGAGTTTTGAAATTTGGCATATTTGTTATAAGCGATAGGAACGCCAAATGTGGTTTACACACTTTATTAAAATTATTTGAAAGTATGAACGATGACCTACTTTCCGCTCGTGTACAATGAACAAAGGAAACGAAAATTGTGTCACTATAAATTAAGAAGTTCACTCGGTGAATTATCCTTGGCGCAAACTGAAAAAAGTGCGCAAACATAAATTTTTAAATTTCTCAGTAAATGTTTCACTAAAAATTACAAAATTTAATATATAGCCATAATTAAGTCGTAGATTGGAAGTATGGAAACAATGTGTATGTTATTTCAGAAAAGACCGATTTTGTGTCCAAATTCCTATGTTAGAACGATGCTATCTATGAATCCAAAATACGCTCTTAGACAAAGAAAAAAACGACGCACCAAGAAGGAGTTATCCAAATGGGACGAAAATCGGTAGAAGTGATGTACATGTCCAGAAAAACAAATGATTACAGTTTGAGAAAAATTGGATGATTTATTGAAGTGATAGAGCTTCCTTCACAAAGTGAAAACGTCAGTAACGAGTTTGTCAACCTCTGGCCCTTATGCAAGCAGTTATTCGGCTTGGGATCCACTGATAAAGGTTGCGGATGTCTTCCTGAGGGATATCCTTCCAAATTCTGTCCAACTGGCGCGTTAGATCGTCAACAACCCGAGCTGGTTTGTGACCCTGCCCATAATGCTTCAAACGTGCTCAATAGGAGAGAGATCCGGCGACCTTGATGGCCAAGGTAATGTTCGGCAAGCACTAGGGCAAGCAGTAGAAACATGTGCAGTGTGGGGGGCGGGCATTATCTTGCTGAAATGTAGAACCAGGGTGGCGTGACATGAAGGGCAAAACAACGGGCCTTAGAACTTCGTCGACGTACCGCTGTGCTGTAAGGTTGCGACGGATGACAACCAAAGGGGTCCTACTATTAAATGAAATGGCACCCCAGACCATCACTCCTGGTTGTCGGCCTGTCTGCCGGAAGACAGTCAGGTTGGTATCCCACCGCAGTTCGGGGCGTCTCCAGACTGGCCTTCGCTGGTCATCGGGCCTCAGTTCAAAGTGGAAACCATCACTGAAGGCTATTCTACTCCAGTCAGTGACATTCCAGTGCGAGTGAGCCCTACACCACTGCAAATGGGCTTGACGATCTACAGAGGTCAATAGTAGTCGGCGCAAAGGGTGCAGTGACCTCAGTCCCTTTTCTTTGAGCCGTCTATGAATGGTCCTTGCGGTCACAGAACCACTAGTTGCATGTACAATCGATGATGATGATGCATCTGGGGTTGTGAGTGCCGCTCTGATGATTGCTCGGTCTTCCCGTTCTGTCGTTTCTCTAGGCCTAGCGCGGCAGAGACGTTCTTGACGCTGTGTGCGGCCATGGTTTACCTATCCGTGCCAACATCGTCTAATAGTGGCATCGCTCCTGCTCAAATGTCGAGCTATTCGCCAATGCGGCCAACCGGCTTCTTTGATCCCAACTACACAACCTCTCTCAAATTCTGACATCTGCAGATATCGTTCGCGCACCTGTATTCGAGGCATAGTTACTGTCTACCAGAGTACACGGAATGAAATTCGTGAAGAATTTATGACCTGGAATTGTAATTTCTCCTCTTAAATATCCTACCAGTTGGCGCAGATTAGATGCGCTGTAGCGACAACCGTTCATTCATTGGCAGACAAAATGTAAAATTTTGCATTTTCCGTCGAAACCTGTATCCATATCAACTTGTGTCCAACTTGCTTTATATCTCCTCGGTGCGTCTTTTTTTTTTTTTTTTTTTTTTTTTTTTGTTTAAGAGTGTATATCCTAAGTCGCACTTTCGAAACATAGAAAACGCAAGTTAATTTCGACAATCGATCCAGTAGAACGGGAGGTATAAAACTGCTCCACTCTATTTTTTGTGTGTGTGTGCAAGTTATACTTCTAATTACGAAACTGAGTCCACAGAATTTGCATTTCAGCGAATGCTTCCTAAGAATGAGCAAATATCTTTTTTTTAATGTAACTATGGTAAAAAAATATTGAAATTTTTTAAGTAAATTAATGTGGAACATTTTAATTCCTTTCAATATTTTTTATTTGAAACGCGTGTTATAAAAACCGAAAATTTTCGCAAACGCACATATTTATTTTGCATTGAAAATGAATTACATTAATAATCTGAATTCCGTAGGAAACTCACCTACGATTTCTGACGATTTCTGTCGTCAGATGAAATAATCGGGTTCATAATGCATAAGTCCAATGAAAGGTGAATAATTTTATTCTTATCACAACAAATTAAACAAAATGCTGAAATTTCTTCAGAGATATTCGTACAATATCGCAATGTCTAACAGTACTTATCTTAAACTACTAAAACGTTCAACAGAACTCAATTCAAAACAGAAAAAGCTAATCCGATTTCACCGCGAATTCGCTACAGTAAACAACAACAACAGTTATCCAAACAACAACTGATTTGAGATGTTTGCCTCCAGCTTTTAAAAGCTTTTTAAATGCAAGAGAATATTCTGGTATTTTCTCGATTGTTTCGGGAAGCAAAAGCGTACAATTACGAGATATCTATTTATTAAATGAGCGTGCTGTTGCATTTTAGCTTTTCCAGCGTAGCTTTCTGTTCAAATAAGTCTCGTCTGCATTGCAGAGGAGTATAAAACAACTTTAATTACAAATTCTACTATGAATAGTTAAATAAATACAAAAACAATAAGATATGTTTATCACAGCTGTTTAATAATCTAATATAATTGTGTTCTTAGAAATAATGGCAACTTTGAAAGGTGTCTCTTATTTTAAATAGCTGCTGTGGAAGTTGAACAATATGAAATAACATTTTGGTGATACATTTTGAAGTATATGTTCTAAATTTAACCTCTTCGTCGTCCGTAACGCGTCTAGCGCGTTCAAGTGACACTTCAGCATGGCGGCCGTAACGCGCTTCAAGCGTTCTTCTACATTTTAAAACTTTGTAGAGTTCCTCACTTTGGAATTTCTAAGTTAATGTTGGAAGTGAATAATCTAAGAACTGATAAGCGAATAATCGCTCGAGTTCTGTGACAAGAAACAACAAGTTAGAAGGGTAACTAACCCTTTATTATTCCAATAAGATTTAACAAAACTCCGCCTGGGAGTGTACAAAGAAAGCCGACACTCGGGACTTGAACTTAAAGAGATTAAGAATTAAACTAAAACTAAGATTAACTTAAAGAAATATAGCCGAAGCTATCAAGGATTCAAATCGAGTTGGCGGCTCCTTAACTTATTTGACTACGAAGCTTAGCAAGGGTCTGAGTACGGCCGTGCGTAATAGCAGCTTTGAGAGAGAGAGAGAGTGGACCAAAAAGGCAAACGCGCGTAAATCAGAGACTCTGATTCTCTCTCTATAAGACTCAGTAAGTAACTTCGTGGTTTAAATACCGCTCTTTCCTCATTATATATTCAGACGTGATTCCAAAACTTACGTTCTGGCCGGAAGTAGTAAGTTGAAGTTAAGAATTTGACAGGAAAGGAACTTAAAATTTAACTGTTAATAAAATTAACATAATCCTTACAACTTTTAAACGTTTAAAAATCTTTCTAAATGTTTACTCGTTTGAGTTTTTATTTTTGTTTGTTCTAATACCTCCTAGAGAGTAGTACTAATCAGGCATTCTATTTCTAATTGATTTCCCCCCCCCCGGGTTTTATGAATATTCGCGCTATTCTACATAAGATACAAGACAGTGAGAGATCTTCAACGTCTACTCAGCAGAAAAAGAGAAAAAATGAGTTTGTGAATTGGAAAGACAAGAAGGATATACGTTTGATGAGTACAATCCGTAATAACTCTATGATTGATGTTGAAACATGGAAAAGAATTGTAAAAAACAAACAATAATTGTAAAAGATTACAACAACAAAATGGGAGGAGTGGACCGCCTGGATCAGATGTTATCAAATTAATCCTGCTGTTAGAAATAAGTAGAGATATTATTATTTTTCCATTATGCTTTATTTCCTTATAATTTTACTTAATATTCATTTACATTCATCCACTACGAAAGCTATGTATGGAACGTTATGTATGTACAGAGAAAACAACATTACACGCTGCGAAAAACAAAAGGCCGCCGAGGAGAAAATTTCGCGGACAGGAGAGGACGGCGAAAGGGTTAACAAAAATCCGTCCAAATAAAAATAATAATGCTTATTAAAACGGTCATTAATATCATTAGATCATAGCTTTACAAATTTTATTCTTAAAAGCTTTTTGTTAAAGATAATTGATACCTTCTGTAAAAATTAAATACGCTGGTTATTTGCATTTCAGAAATCCAGACTTCAGTGTTTG